GTGTGCTCGCCAGAAAGACAGAGAGAGACAGAGACACGGAAAGCGAGAAATCACCCCCCAGGGGGGATGGCCACGCCGCAATCTCTTCCTCCATTCTCTTCTTGGGATCTTGGGCACACATGCACATGTGCCCAGCGTGAGTTTAAGCCACTGGGTGCAGGATTCGAACCGCAGTGAACTACATGGGAGTCCAGTGACACAGCCATTACGTTAACTGCTTGTCCTGAGATGATTCTTTTTGTATGTTGCAAAGATGTATGGTGATGAAATGTAAATAAAACAAGAAAATATTTTTATAAAAATTGTTCAAATATTTTAGATGGTATAAGTTTACTTTGTATATAGCATGTTTTAGTTATCTGAGGATGCCCTCCCTTCTTCCTCTGAAGCAAATATTTATTAGGTACATGTTAATATCTTATGTTCAATGGTCTACTGCAAGATCCATGCCCTGTCTCAACACAAAGAGGCAAACAATACAGTTTCTGCTCTCACGGAACTCACATGTTGGTGGAGTTTACTTTTTTTTTTTTAACAATTATTTTACTTAACGTTTATTTATTTATTATTATTATTTAATTTGACTGGGGGGGAGACACAGAGAGAGAGAGAGAGAGAGAGAGAGGTAAAGTGAAGCTGCCAGGTCTGGGACTCGAACCAGTCAGTCATTTGGGAGTCCAGCACCCTTAACCACCAGGCCATCTGCTGGCCCTGGTGGAGTTTATTTTTACAAATACTTCCTGACAACAGCAAACGAATAGGCAGGTATATTGAAAAGTAATTTATAAATGCTCCAAGTATAGACTCAATTTCGATATACTACTTTCCTCCAAAATAGATATTAACATTACAGTTGTAAAAATTTTGCATGCATATATATATATATACATATTTAGATTACATACTTATTTTTAAAATTTATTATATTTATTCATTTATTGTCATTTACTGTACATCATTACAGTATACAAAATGAGATTTTTCCATCCAGAATACACTGTTTATTGTCTCAGTCAAGGATATTACCATACATGTTATCAACAAATAATTTTCCACTTATTTCTTATATATTTTGCTTTCCCCCACCTTGTTTCCCTCACTCTACCATTTCCCACCCTCCTCCCACACTGTCTCTGTTATCTAGGTGCTTTCCATGCCTTTTTTCTTTCACAGTTTATAACTTCACTAAAGATCTTAATTTAAATACTTTCAATAGCAAGCACAGTTGATATATAAATATCTATGAACACATGTCTGACTTTAGGCATAAACCCCAGTGAGTGAAATGAACATACTATAAAGTAGCACCTAGCTAGGGTTAAATAGCTTACTGCAGTCATTAAATAGGTATTTCTTAAATGCTTTTTATTTTTTTTGGAGATATTTTTGCTATAGGGTGCGTGTGCTTGCCAGAAAGACAGAGAGAGACAGAGAGACAGAAAGTGAGAAATCACCCCCCAGGGGGGATGGTCACACTGCAATCCCTTCTCCTCCATTCTCTCCTCGGGATCTTGGGCATGCACACACATGCACCTGACTTGAGTTTAAGCCACTGGGTCCGGGACTTCAAACACGGTCGACTACATGGGAGTCCAGCGACATAGCCATTGCACCAAATGCTGGTCCCTGGGTAATTCTTTTTATAATCTTGCTGGGTATAGTATTCTTGGTTGAAATTGCTTTTCACTTAACACTTTGAATGTATTTTCCCATCCTTCCTTGCTTGCATTGCTTCCAATGATCAGTCCAATGTTAGCCTGATGGAATAACTTTTGAAAGTAACTTGATGTTTCTCTTTTGCCAATTTTAGTACCTTGTCTCCATCTGTTTTGGTTAGTCTGACTTTAATATGCTTTGGAGACCTTGGATTAATTCTATGTGGGATCCTTTGTATTTCTTGGGTCTTGATATTTGAGGTCCTCTCCAGGTTTGGGAAGTTTTCTTCCAGAATTTCATGGAATAGATTACCAATGTCCTTATTAATTTCCTCACCTTCTGGAATACCGATTATCCATTTTGAACACTTAACGGTATTTAGTATTAGTCGTATATTATTCTCACTTTTTTGGGTTTTCTTTTTGGTCAATTTTTCTGGGTCAGAGATTCTATCTTCTACATCTGAGATTCAATCTTCTGCATTATCTAATCTGCTTTTAATACTTCCAAGGGAGGTTTTGATTTCCTTTATTACAGCCTTCATCTCTAAGAATTGTTTTTATTTTATTTTATTTTATTTTATTTTATTTTTTATGATGTTTATTTCCTAGTTCAGATCGTGCATGAACTTCCTCACTTCCTGGAACTCATTGTCTCTTTTCTCCCGCATCTTCTGGAGTTCGCTGTCTCTCTTCTCTTGCGTCTGTTAGCTTTGTCACTATGAATATTCTAAATTCTTTATCTGACATTAGCATGAGTTCCCGTATTGTCTGTGGAGGAAGAGGAGTTACTCTCTTCCCGTAAGGAAAGATGTTTCCTTGGT